AAACAACCGTTTACTTTGTAAAAACTAGTTTTTACTTTGTTGAAACTAGATTTCATTTTATTGAAACTAGTTTTTACTTTGTTTATAATGAATTTCTTTATTAAAACTAGTTATTACTTTATTTATAAAAGATTTCTTTATTAAAACTAGCTTTTTATTTGTTAAAACAAATTTTACTTTCTTAAATAGTTTTCGATAGTAAAATTATTTAAATTTGTTAAAACTAGGTTTACTTTGTTAAAACTACTTTTCTTATTAACTAAAACTAGTTGTACTTTTTAAAAATAGGTTTTTTTAACATTAAAACTGATTTTTTTAATATTAAAACTAGTTTTTTTAATATTAAAACTAGTTTTTATTTAGTTAAAACTCGATTTAATTTGGTAAAACTAGTTTTTTCCTTGTTAAAATTAATTTTAATTTTTTAAAAACCACTTTTACTTTGTTATAGTAGTTTTTACTTTGTTAAAATTAGTTTTTAATTTGTTAAAATTAGTTTTTCTTTATTAAAACTGGTTTTTTCTTTTTTTAAAACTAGTTTTACTTTGTCAAAACAAGTTTCACATTGTTAAAACTACTTTTTTTTGTTAAAACTAATTTTACTTTATTAAAACAAAATATGATTATTCTTTACTCACACTGCGATAAATCATTTTCGTTTGTGAGATATAACCCACTGTAAATTTTTAAATTATTACACCGTATATATTATACGAGGATTATTTAAAAACTACGTGACCTAACTAAAAAAAAAAAAAACGCAACTTACGTTTTCTTTAAACTTCTATATATTATTAGCCAGGTGTGTAGAAAAATTATTATTTCTTACAGGTTGTAATTTTTCCATAACTATAATCTGTGCGATAATTTAAAACTTATGAATTTAATATGACGCTAGTCGAATATGGAGACTATAGAAAATTGGAAGTTGCACAAAAACTTCCGACGCCGTATACTGCAAACTTCAAATTCTGAACTCTAATCCTTGCGAACTTCCAAAACTGGGTAGAGCTTTGCGATATCTAAAAGTTAATATCCGATATTAGTTTGCTATCGGAATTAAACTTTTTTTAATGGAAGTTGGGAGTTTTACGATATGATATATTACTTTTCGGCTTTGAGGCGTCATACGGAGTTCATATAATTATCGTACATTTTTTTATGATTTGCAAACAGTTTTTAATAAAATCTAGTTTTTACTTTGTTAAAACAAGTTTCACTGTCTTAAAAATAGTTGTTTTGTGTTAAAACAAAGTTTTTATGTGTTAAAACTAGTTTTACTTTCCTACGAAATAGTTTTTCTGTTACATAAGATAAATTGGGTTGATTTTTGAGATTTGAATAGTATACGGAATCATTATTACGAATTAGGAATTATTTTTTGTTTTGCAACAATTTTAAACTATTTTTAGCGATCTTTCGCTATTTCTAAGGATTTTTTTTCATAGATAACATCGAATACGTGGTTCTTACGTTTCGCCGTTTTATTTGACACGTCGCAAACCCATATTGTATCTCATTAAAATCGAAAGTCGTAGAAAAAATATGGTATATAAGATTTTTGTGTTTTTAAATACTATGCAGCATGATAATCTCAGATTAAGCATTATTTTTTGTTTTGCATGCATTTTAAACTTTTTCATAACGAAATTTTGTTATTACAAAAGACTTTTACCAAACCAGATAAGAAATATGTAATCCACATGTTCTACCGTTTAATTTGATATGTCATACGTCCGTATCCGCGTTACGTTTTCTATTGAAATTATAAGTCGTATAAAAAATATGGTACATCAGATTTTTATGACTTTCATGCCGAATTTTACCGAATGTTTTATGGTTTGTAAGCATTTTAAGCCTTTTTTTAGCGATTTATCACAGTTTCAAAGAATTATAACTGGATTCTGTCATGCGACCTGTTAACTGTCAAATACGTCATCTTTCAACTTAAACAGTTATGCCAATTACCTATGCTCCTATCCCACATACTTTGATTACTATACGGGGCAAGAGAACTAAATGTCTTTATTAAAACTATTTTTTCTTTGTTAAAACTACTATTGTTTTATTTATTAAAACTAGTTTTACTTTTAAGCAGTCTAATTAGAGTACTTTAAAATTGATTACATCATTCCACCGTAGGAATAATAAAAAGTAATCAAGAACCTTATATTATTACTTATTGCTCTAATTTTACTACATACTACATTATAATAGTTTTCTGTGGTAAAATTAGTTTACTTTCTAAAAAACTAGTTTTTACTTTTGTAAAACTTTTTTATTTCTCAAAACTAGGTTTTAGTTTGTTAAAACTTTTTTTATTTATTAAAACTAGTTCGACTTTTTATTGTGACACCTTAGCCACGGCGATCCGGCATCGTGGCTAGAGACACGGGTTCCTAACCTAACTCTTGGCACCGGCTCGCGAGGTGGCATGTCGTATTTTCGACTAGGTCTTTTTCTTGACTTTTGGTGAAGTAATAAAGAAGTTTATATGAGGATATGATCATTAGTGTTGTCCATCTACATAATTTTAATTTTTTTTTTGTTAAAACTATTTTTTATTTATTTAAAATTAATTATTTCTTTGTTAAAATAAGTTTTACTTTGTTTAAATAAGCTTCTACTTTGTTAAAGCTTGTTTTTACTTTAAAACTACTTTTTCCTTTTTAAAAGCCAGTTTTACTTTGTTAAAATTAGCTTTTATTTAGTTAAATCTAATTTTTCTTTGTTAAAACAAGCTTTTACTTCATCAAAACTAGTTTTTACTTTGTTAAAACTAGTTTTTCTTTATTAGAACTAGTTTTTACTTTGTTAAAACTAGCTTCTACTTTGTTAAAGCTAGTTTTTACTTTAAAACTAGTTTTTACTTTGTTTAAACTAGATTTCTTTATTAAAACTAGTTTTTTCTTTGATAAAACTTTTTTTTATCAATTTGAGAAACTAGTTTTAACAAAGTGAGACTAGTTTTAACAAAGTGAAACTAGTTTTAACAAAGTGAAACTAGTTTTAACAATGTGAAAACTAGTTTTTACACAGTGAAATTAGTTTTATTAAAGTGAAACTAATATTAATAAACAGAAACTAGTTTTAATAAAGATAAACTAGTTTTAAGAAAGTAAAAACTAGTTTTAATAAAGTAGTAGCTTTTTTTAACAAAGTTAAAACTAGTTTTAACAAAGTGGAAGCTAATTTTAACAAAGAAAACAATAATAAATGCTTTAATGAAAGAAAAATTAGTTTTATCAAAATAAATTGAGTTTTAACTAAATAAAAACTATTTTTAACAAAAAAATATAAAGTAAAACTAGTTTTGATAAATAGCAAAAGTTTCAACAAAGTAAAAAACAAGTTTTAACAAAGTGAAAACAAGTTTTAAGTGAAAACAAGTTTTAACAAAGTGAAAACAAGTTTTAAGTGAAAACAAGTTTTAACAAAGTGAAAACAAGTTTTAACAAAGTGAAAACAAGTTTTAACAAAGAACTAGTTTTATCACAGAACTATTTAAGAAAGTAAAATTACCTGAACATAATATATATGGGGGACGTTCGGGAAGTTCAACACGATGTGACAGATGACATGACAAATGAATACGAAGAGTTAGACCCGGGCAATGCGTCGATCAGTTAGTGACAGATTGTCATAAAGGACAATAAAATGCATAGGGAAATTAAAACATAGAGGAATTGACAAGTGATAGGTGGTTCATAACGACAATATGTGCATTGGGGGATAGGAACATGGGGAATTGGTATAACTGTTTAAGCTGATAGATGACGTATTTGACATTTAACAGGTAACATGAGAGAAGACAGGTATAGTTCTTTGGAACTGTGATAAATCGCTAAGAATAGGCTTAAAATACTTACAAATTGTAAAAAATGCCTAATTCGGCGTAAAAGCATAAAAATCTTATATACCATATTTTTTCTACGACCGATAATTTCAATAAGAAACGTAACGCGGATACGGACATATGATATAACAAATTAAACGGTAGAACGTGCGGATTACATATTTATTATCTGATTTGGTAAAAGTCTTTTTTAATAACAAAATTTCGTTATGAAAAAGTTTAAATTGCATGCAAAACAAAAAATAATTCTCAATTTGAGATTATGATGCCGCATAGTATTTAAAAATACAAAAATTTTATGTACCATATTTTTTCTACGACCTGCGATTTTAATGAGACGCAACATGGGTTTGTGACGTGTTAAATAAAACGGCGAAACGTGACGACTACGTAATCGATGTTATTTGCTAAAAAAATCCTTAGGAAAGGCAAAAGATCGCTAAAAATGGTATAAAATTGGCCCAAAACAAAAAATAATTCCTAATTCGTAATAATGATTCTTTATACTATTTGAATCTCAAAAATCAGCATATCCTTTTTAAACCTAATTCAACTTATATAACAGGAAAACTTTGTATGAAAGTAAAACTAGTTTTAACACAGACAAACTTTGTTTTAACACAAAACAACTATTTTAAGACAGTAAAACTAGTTTTATTAAAGTAACAACTACAATTTATTAAAATAAAACTAGTTATAACAAAACTATCAGTGAAAACTGTTTGCTAATCATAAAAAATTGTACCCCAATTATATGAACTAGTTTTTTCTTTGTTAAAACTAGTTTCGTTTTATTAATATTAGTTTCACTTTGTTAAAACTAATTTCACTTTGCTTAAACTAATTTTATTTTTTCAAATAGTTTTTGTTACAAAATTAGTTTAATTTTTTATAGATACTTTTACCTTGTTAAAACTAATTTTTACTTTGTTAAAACTAGATTATTTTATTAAAACTAGTTTTTACTTTGTTAATACTAGTTTTTTCATTTATTAAAACTACTTTTACCTTGTTAAAACTAGTTTAACATTGTTAAAACTAGCTTCACTTTGTTAAAACTAGTTTCACTTTGTTAAAACTACGTTTTTCTTTGTTAAAACTAATTTTACTTTATTAAAATAAAATAAGATTATCCTTTACTCACCCTGCGATAAAAATCCTTCTTCGATGAGCTTAGCTTCCATGAGCAGATTCGGAATGAGCAGACAAAACGAAATGGCTATGTGGATGAAGGGCGCCGTCGGACCCCCGTATCTGAACAGCCCGCAACTGCCGCTCTTGAGCAAATCCGGGGGCTCCTTGCTGCACGTTCCCGTTTGCCTCCCTATTTTGTAGCCGTCGTTGGCCAAATTTCCGATCTTGAAAGAAAAAACGAAGAAAATTAGGTGGAATTCGATATTTCCCATTAGTTGTATATACATTTAAAATTGATTATTCCTATTTAGTAATAATATAGCCAAAAGTACATCAAAACTTCCTATATTTCTCGACTATTCTGATGATTAGACAACACTGCATAAATGATCTGTAACGTCCATCGCTCTTTATATTAAAAAAATCTGTATCTATATAATTTTTTGTTATTATTATAATTATTTATTATTTATTTATTAAATACACTATTCTACAAGTAATACCCAATTACAGAATAGGAAAATATGACAAAAATATTTAGACGAAACGTACAAAAATGAAAAATATTACAGGAAATAAAGTACAATGATGGTTATCCTAAATAATGCCTTTTGATATCCTGAATACTAATGTGGAATATATCCAATTCCTGACTTATCTGATTATAATTATTACACATTATATACATATATGGAAAATATTACCTAGGTAAATTTATAGTACCGGAGGGTTTTAATTTGGGGCTATTGCTTTTTTGTATTATTATATCGTAGGTAAATAGACTTAGCTTCACTATGTTTTAACTCAGAGTATTTATTTTCTTGTTTCACCCTGTAAAATCTATCTATTATGTACAATCTACGACTTGTATATCTACTGTGAGTTCTTTGTGTCAAATATCCAACGCCTACGCGATATCAATAAACAATGCAAAAAAGCAAAGCAGACTTTTTATACCCGAAACATTTCCTGAGTTTCCGATTTGTTTGAATTTCATTTTCCATTTCGTATCTCTTATAAATTGAATACCAAATCCGCAGGTATACGTTACATCGCACGTTGCATTGAAACAACAAATATTCGTAATATGTATGCAGAAACTCAAACATGCATACCAACCTCCAAACAAACACAAGGTACACGGACGTGACCGCCATTTTAACGTGCCTAAATTTAGAGCATACATCAGCAACAAATGTTTAAATTAGGCCAGAAATAGTCAATTTTTTTTAATAACAATGTGGAACTAACTAGTTCAATCATTATTATGAGGAGTTAACATTAATATAACCTCACAATTTGTAAAATAAATCCATGGAAATGAGATAGAACCACTCAAAAGACGTAAAGAATGTTTCTACACACACATGTTAAATATTTATGAACGACCACGGTAAAAAAAATGTTAAAGCTTTTCTAACAGTGAAAAACACCACATGTTTTCGACCGAAATCTGTTAAAACCCCAACACAAATCTGGTTGTTAATAATTCAAAGTAGTTTTACAATTCAAAAGCACACTCGCGTTTGAAAGAAACCACTTTGTATTTACGGGCTTAAAATGAATCGATAAAATACGCCTTTTCACTATTTTTTTCTAATAAAATCGTGTAAACATGTATTAAAAATAATAAATGAATGCTTTGAAAGAGAGGTGTCATATTAAATGTAAAAAAAAAGATAAATAAAGATCCTTAGAGCATAAACTTAGAGTTGCAACTTGAATGGGTGCTTCCAAATATTTTTTTGTGACCATTGAATTAAATTTGGACGATAGGTGTCTTTTATTATCATTAGTTATTAGTAGAATACAGGATACTGCTAAGTTGGCAACATTGCAAGGTTAGGTTTGGTTAGGTTATATTAGGTTAGGTTAGATTAGGTTAGGTTAGGTTAGGTTAGGTTAGGTTAGGTTAGATTAGATTAGATTAGATTAGGTTAGATTAGATTAGGTTAGGTTAGGTTAGGTTAGGTTAGGTTAGGTTAGGTTATGTTAGGTTAGGTTAGGTTAGGTTAGATTAGATTAGGTTAGGTTAGATTAGGTTAGGTTAGGTTAGGTTAGGTTAGGTTAGGTTAGGTTAGGTTAGGTTAGGTTAGGTTAGGTTAGGTTAGGTTAGGTTAGGTTAGGTTAGGTTAGGTTAGGTTAGGTTAGGTTAGGTTAGGTTAGGTTAGGTTAGGTTAGGTTAGGTTAGGTTAGGTTAGGTTAGGTTAGGTTAGGTTAGGTTAGGTTAGGTTAGGTTAGGTTAGGTTAGGTTAGGTTAGGTTAGGTTAGGTTAGGTTAGGTTAGGTTAGGTTAGGTTATGTTAGGTTAGGTTAGGTTAGGTTAACTTTGTTGAAATTAGTTTTTACTTTGTTAAAACTAGTTTTTACTTTATTAAAACAAGATTTTACTTTATTAAAACTTATTTTTCTTTATTAAAACTAGTGTATCCCTTGTTAAATAGTCTCATTTTATTGAAATTAAAGCCGATTTGTATAAAGTTGCAGTTGCAGTAACCGCTTTCAGTTGCAGTTTGCGTTGGCGCAAAAGCTACTTTTGCTTTTGCGCCTTATATTCTCTGCTGTCACTGCTCGTTGTTGCACATTCGAACATAACAAAGTTTTAAGTTTAACAGCAATGTCAAAAAAACGGTAACGGCGAGAGAAACTACAAGTTTATAAATAGACATCTAGTTTCACTTTGTTAAAATTAATTTCACTTAAACTAGTGTCACTTTTTTAAAACTAATTTTACTTTCTTATAAGTTTTCTGTGGAAAATTAGTTTTTTTTTGTTAAAACTTGTTTTTACTTTGTTAAAACTTGTCTTTACTTTGTTAAAACTTGTTTTTACTTTGTTAAAACTTTATTTATCAAAACTAGTTTTACTTTTTTTTTTGTTAAAACTAGTTTTTATTTAGATAAAAGTCGATTTACTTTAATAAAACTATTTTTTCTTTGTTAAAACTAGTACTTTGTTAAAACTAGTTTTTACCGTGTTTAAAGTAGATTTCTTAATTAAAACTAGTTTTTTCTTTTTTAAAACCAATTTTACTTTCTTTTAGGTGGTAAAATTTGTTTAATTTGTTAAAAGTAAATTATACTTTTATAAAACTAGTTTTTCTTTATTAAAACTAGTTTTTTCTTTATTAACTTTGTAAAAATACATTTAACTTTCTTTATTTTATTTTACTTTCTTAAATAGTTTTCTGTGGTAAAATTAGTTTTCTTTGTTAAAACTAGTTTCACATTATTAAAACTAGTTTTACTTTCTTAAAATTTGTTAAAACTAGCTCCTACTTTGTTAAAACTAGTGTTTACTTTGTTAAAACAAGTTTTTAATTTTTTAAAATCATATTTCATTATTAAAACTAGTTTTTTCTTTGTTAACCACCACACCTACATGTCCGTGTCAGTGACGAGCACGTCTTACTGGAAATTTTGTACGCGCTCGACTGGGACACGGGCGACCATTATATTTACTCACAATTTTTTTGCGCTCGTTTCGGATGCAAGCCTGTTCTAATAAAATTTTAAGTATAAACACTACATTTTCCCTTAAAAAAAATTCGATCATTTTTTAACCAAAAATTCAAAATAAATTTATACATTAAGTGGGTAAAACTAATTTTACTTTCTTAAATAGTTTTCTGTTGTAAAATTAGTTTAATTTGTTAAAACAAGTTTTTACTTTGTTGAAACAAGTTTTTACTTTGTTAAAACAAGTTTTTACTTTGTTAAAACAAGTTTTTACTTTGTTAAAACAAGTTTTTACTTTGTTAAAATAAGTTTTGGTAAAACTAACTTTTCTTTGTACTTTGTTAAAACTAGCTTCTGCTTTGTTAAAAACTAGTTTTTACTTTGTTTTTTATTTAAAAACTATGTTTACTTTTTTGTAACAACTACTTTTTATTTGGTTAAAACTCGATTTACTTTGACAAAACTACTTTTTCTTTGTTAAAGCTAATTTTACTTTGTTAAAACTAGCTTTTACTTTATTAAAACAAGTTTTTACTTTATTAAAACTAGTTTTCATTTTGTTAAAACTAGTTTTCATTATGTTAAAACTAGTTTTTATTATGTTAAAATTAGTTTTTCTTTATTAAAACTAGTTTTTCTTTGTTAAAACTAATTTTACTTCCTTACATAGTTTTCTGTGGTAAAATTAGTTTAATTTGTTAAAATAATAGTATTTTTAAACGATTTATATGCCATTATATCTTAATTAAATCATAAATCCATAACTAAATTAATAAAATAATGTGATATTATTAGTCAAAAATTCATATTTTCGCTATAAAATATACAGGTAAAATATTATCATTCTGTAAATAGATCAGGGACGAACTATAGGGATAAACACTTATATTTCCGGTAAAGACATCTTTTTTTTTCAATTGGTTCAAAGTTACCTCAAAATGATTGCAATTTCCAACTACAAAGAAACTTCCTGTACCAGAGTCAATATTTTAGGAAATCAATTCACGCTGCACTTGGCAGTTCTCATATTGTCTATATTACGTAACAAGAGTTGTAAGTAACCCAAGTAACCCATTACGCACGAAATGAAAAAGTTTACGAGTGCGTAATGGGTTACTTACAATTCTTGTTAGGTAATATTCTATTAAATGATCATTTTCATACTGTTATAAATAACTACTTTTAATTTCTATGAAAGAAATGAGATGTTCTGAGTATAATTAGTAGTAGTTAGACTTACTGATCATCTATAATTAGTTGCATATAGCGTTCGTTCACCTATCTCCAATATTAATTTCTCTAAATTAAACGACATCGGTCTGGTCATTGATATGTTTACCGATCTCCTATCCCTATAGCCATTATCAATTGTGCAAGCAGCGCAACAGCACGTATTTTCCATGTTTCATGGAAAACGGAGAATATCCCGATTCTCCATGAAACATCGAGTGATCAATCGAACGGCAGCATGGAGTGGAATGTTATATAGAGGACTGCGATTATAATGGAAGGCTATCCACAGTCCATCTTGCTCTGAGTTAAACGAGAAACGTCTATCTTTGTCTGTATAGAGAACGCTTGAGTTGTTTGGGAAATTTCTATGGGATATTGTGTTGGGTTTGAAGAGGAAATGTACGTTCCTTGTGCATACATGCTTTTGCTTTAAATCTGTAAACGCTTTGTTTAATATAACTAGTTAATAATAGTAAGGATAATTATTATGAAAACTACATCAAGTAGGTAAGTTTGTTTTAACAGTAACAAACTTAACAATTGATCAGCAAGAATGTTGTTATTTATATTGTAATAATTGGCATTATTATTAGTTGTAAATATAAAGAATTTACCAAAAATTCTAAATAAGTATTTTAATGTTTTAAATTAAAAATTAAAAACGAAGACACGTATGAAAATAAAACAATCAGGTTATTAATCTAGTCAATGGTTACACTAAGAGGACATTTTAAAAATACAACCATCACGTAAATTTTGGTTTATATAGAGAGGAGACAGAAAGAAAGTCACTCTCGAGTAAACTCCTCAGTCGAGTTCGGACTAAGGTCCAGAACTTTCGCCCAAGGGGCGAAAGCTCTCGTTTTTTTTAAATCCCTTTAAGTCCCAAAACAATGTAATGTGTAGAGTAAAGTTTTGTGTACGATTTGTAAGTTATGGGTAAATATTTTTAACTTCATTTTGTTTAATATTAATTGATTGCCAATTTTACATTATCGCCCCGAATTATCATATTTATCTTATGCATATTTTTATATTATTATGTAGCTATAGTGCTTTATTTTCTAAATGGAATTTTATTCATTTTTTAGTCAAATTTTATACTTATTGTTAATATACATTTGTTAATATTTTATTACTTATTATTAATCTCTCCTTCTTTTCCAAACCAGTAAAATACTCCGAGCATTTGAGAAGCCTCGGCGTTTCTATTCCCTTAGGACTAAGAAAGTCTAAAACTAGTTGCCAAGAACCGTTCGACTATGGTATTAAGGGATATTTTTATTCTTTTAATTTAATTTTTATATTATTTTTTTATTTGCCACTGGTGAATGGATGTTCCTTCTGGACTTCAAGACCCTTTGGCTGGTGACGGCGCTGCCCTAATCCCTTAATAGTATATTAACAACAGTAGCTAAAGACCTATCAGTAGTTACAAATAGTCTTTAGGCTAGTTGGATGTTACAATATTAATTTGACAGACTTGTGATCTTCTTGTTTCACAAAGTTCATTATAATATCACATGTCAACTGCGAAAAAAACAAAACTAAACCTTTTTTTATTTTAAAACTGTTATTTTTAAACATTTATATCGAAAGTTGGCTATATAAAAATAGATTTCGGTGGTGCACTTACAATTTTAAAATTTTGACAGCTACTAATTAGCATATTTTCTTCCATCAACAAGAACAAAATAGAATCAAATTAAAAACTCATTTGAAGTATTTTTGTTAAATTTGTTTTAGGAATTGATTTGATTTTTAACAAATCGTGTAATATCTATTTTTGTTAGGATATAACGGAATACTTGAAGTTGAATAGGTCGACCAATTCAAAAGAGAAGAGGCTTGTTTATATCAAAACTTTAAACGCTCTTGGATTTTCTAGGTCGTTCTATTAGAGCATATACGAGTATTTATTGGTTTGAAGATAGTTGGCAATGACTGTAATAGAGCTATAATAAACTAGCTCGACAATATGAGAACTGCCGAGTGCAGCGTGAATTGATTTCCTGAAATATTGACTCTGATACAGGAAGTTTCTTTGTAGTTTGAAATTACAATCATTTTGAGGTAACTTTGGACCAATTTAAACAAAAAAAGCTGATTTTATCGGAAATATACGAGGGGTTATCCATATATTCCGTCCCTGATCCATTTACAGAGTCATTCATGGCAAACTGATAATACAGGGTGTCCCAATGAAAAGTAGCCCATTTCCAGAGCTTATAACTTTTAAACAAATCGTAAAAACGTGCGGTTTTTGCTGATATGTGTTATTTTGCTATAAGTTTTGCTTCAGTGACACAGAAATTATGTATTAGCTATACAGGGTGTTTTTTATAAATTCCTCTTTTAAATTCACCGTAACCAAATTTTTATCAAATGAAAACGGGCTACTTTTCATTGGGACACCCTGTATTTTACCTGTGTATATTTTATAGCGAAAATATGAAATTTATACTAATAATATCACATTACTGTACTAATTTAGATATGGATTTATGATTTAAATAAGGATAATGGCATATAGATCGTCTAAAAATACCACTTTTTAGAAATGAGTATATAGTGAACTCAGAGCAATTAGTAATAATATAAGATTTTTGATTACTTTAAGTGAAAACTAATTTTTACAAATTAAACTAATTTTACCATAGAAAACTATTTAAGAAAGTAAAATTGGTTTTAACAGAAAAAAACTAGTTTTAATAAAGAAAAACTAGTTTTAACAAAATGAAAACTAGTTTTAATAAAGTAAAAACTTGTTTTAACAAAGTAAAAACCTGTTTTAACATAGTAAAAACTAGTTTTAACAAAGTAAAAGCTAGTTTTAACAAAGTAAAATTAGCTTTAACAAAGTAAAATTAGCTTTAACAAAGTAAAATTAGCTTTAACAAAGAAAAAACTAGTTTTGTCAAGGTAAAAACTAGTTTTAATAAATAAAAAAGTTTTAACAAAATCAAAACTAGTTTAAACAAAGTTAACTAATTTTAACACAGAAAAATATTTAAAAAAGTAAAAAGTGACACTAGTTTGAACAAAGTAACATTAATTTTAAAAAAGTAAAACTAATTTTAATGAAGTGGAAGCAGTTTTAACAAAGTAAAACTAGTTTTAACAAAGTAAAACTAGTTTTAACAAAGTGAAACTAGTTTTAACATAGAAAAAACTAGTTTTAATAACAAAGAACTATTTTTAACAAAGTAAAAACTAGTTTTAACAAAGTAAAAACTAGTTTTAACAAAGTAAAAACTAGTTTTAACAATGTAAACTAATTTTACCATAGAAAACTATTTAAAAAAGAAAAAAGTGACTAGTTTGAACAAAGTGAAATTAATTTGAAACTATTTTTAACAAGGAAAACCCCATTTTTAATAAAGAAAAACTAGTTTTAACAAAGTAAAAGGATATTTGAACAAAGTAAAACTAGCTTTAAAAAAGAAAAAACTAGTTTTATCATAGTAAATTGACTTTTAACTAAATAAAAATTAGTATTTACAAAAAAAAAACTATTTTTAAAAAGTGAAACTACTTATGTTTAATAAATAAAAAAAGTAGTTTTAACATAGCAAAAATTAGTTTTAACAAATTAAACTAATTATCTTGAAATAAATGCATTGTCTGTATACATGACATGCTTCAAGAGTATTAATTATGCACGATTTGATTGTTATTATTTTGTTTCATAGACGGTAAAAAAATTTAAGTTTTTTTAGTTATGTAAAAGAAACTTTCATTAACCAGCTTTGGTGTGGTGGCCAAAGACACAGCAAAGGAAAGCAATAACGAAGCTTAGCAAGGTACAAAGACTTGCCTGCCTCGGAATAACGGGGGCAATGAAAACAACCCCCACTGCTGCAATGGAAGCACTAATAATACTTCCACCTCTTCACTATGTGATACAAGGGGAGGCAAGATTAGGTGCTTACAGATTAGGGAATACACTGGGAAATCTTGACATTAGGCCAGGCAATTTTGCAATGTGCAAAAACGAACAATGAAAGTGCTGTCGAAAATCAGCATATTCAAATAATGTCAGACAGCCAAGCGGCACTTAAGGCCATATCGAGTCAGAAAGTTACGTCGAGGCTGGTATGGGAATGCATCGTAGAACTAAGAACACTGGCAGACCGAAATAGAGTAAAACTATTTTGGGTGCCAGGTCACAAAGGGATCGAATGCAACGAAAAGGCTGACGAACTTGCAAAAAGAGAGTCAGAGGAAACACCGGAACCAGACACAAACCCAGGAGTACCAAAAAGTACAGTCCGGGGTTTTATAAATGACTGGATTCGGGAACAACATTCACTATTGGGGAAGCACCCCAAAACAGGCACATGGAAAAGCCTTCATAGGCAGACCATGTCCCAAGAGAACTGGAGAACTACTCTTAATGAATAGGAACCAGTTGAAAGTGATAACAGGGTTCATGACTGGGCACGCCCCAGTAAAGGGACACTTGAACAAAATTGGCATGTACAATGGGGAACTCATGTGCCGACTATGTCACAAGAAACCAGAAACGGCCAAACACATACTGTGCGAATACGAAGCTCTAGATCGCAAAAGACAGGCTCTTTTTGGAAAACCCCAGGTTGATCCAACAACGTATAGAACCCACTCACCCAAGGATCTGTATAAACTTGTACAAGGTACAAAGGTGATAGAGTGGGTGCTATGAACTAACATGGGATAAAACACAATAAGCCAATAGGCTTCAGTTTTATTCGAAGACACATAGTCAAACGAGCCCAGGAGAAAAAAAAAACTTATATTTTTGAATTCTTAAGAAAAACCGTTTTGAGAGTGGACCACCTTAACAAAGAAACAACTAATTCCTAGATAAGTCAATGCGATTATATGTGGTTTACATACCAAAGGTCAAAGTCGTTTTTCAAGTACTTTAGAACAACTCCGTTTTTTAAGAAGTCTTTACATCCTCTAGGCACACTTCATGAAGGATCTTCAATATTAAAAGTAATGCCAGGAAGTATATTTTTCTCGAAAGCTTCGTTTAAAGACAACCGCGCATATACGGCAGAATTCTATGGGCGAACGCCAACCTTAAGTTGTTTATAAACCGAAAAATATTGATACATGATCTTTATATTTTATGATAACTTACCTTAAGAATCGCCACACAAAGAAAAACGGGCAACAAAAGTAAGGCGGCTCCTGTTAATCCAAGACTACAATTTAATTCCAAATACGGCAACCCTTCCGGCCACGGCAGAAGAGAATAACCTGGAAACAAAAACATGAATAAGCATTTTTAACAAGATCACTTTTTATTCTCTTATAATAATACACTATGTTTATAATCCCGTATGAAAACACTAACATAGTTACAATATTCACCGCCAACAGTCTGAGCCTCTAAAATCCGATATCGCCTCTTAATCCTTTACTACGGGATTAATCCTGGAAACAACGATGAGAACGCTGCTCTCCCGATTCCCAGCAAGATGTAACCAAGTGGTTTTTTTGTTGTCTGAAAGCTTTTAAAATGCCTTAATATTTGAACGGCGTCAGAGTCTACTAAACTGTTTCACCTTAGAAGACAGATTAATTGATCAAAGTAATTTTTTTTTCGTTTTGTACTTGTCAGTTTGTTTTATATATTCGCAGATGGAGTTCGAGAAAACCGTCTAGGAATATCGAGGGAATATAGGGAACGGAGAAATTACTTAATGGCGTTGCTAAGGAGATGAAAGTTTGTCGTTTTTGGTTATGTCTGAGATTCAATGAAGTTGTTCTTTATTATGCAAGACGTGCTTGCGTCAATGGAATCCATTAAAGGGATGGTTGGATAAGATTCAAAACTACGTCATTATAAATAATAAATTAAACGTTATTATTTGCTCAGTGACTTCTCGGTTGGCGATTTGTTATTCGTAAATATTTTGTTCAATTTATATAAAAAGACTACTTATATAAATTATTCATATTGTTTGAACAATTTTGTTAGTTTATTCATTCAGAAGAGATTCTATATCGAACGTAATAAACGTGTTTAAATGTGCTCCTATTAGCCCAATCGGATTAGTATTTTAGATTCTGAAAAATTCGAAGCAGCAATTTTCCTTCGGAATTCGTTGGAGGGGGTCTCTGGTAGTCTAAATTCAAAAAGTTGGGATTCCAAAGTTGTCGTTACCTCCGCCATCTTGATTTAAAGGGTTATTTTTTGTATCTTGAATAACTCATTTATTTTCAATTTTACACGGAAAATAGTTTTTACAAAAGTTATTTAAAATTAAATTTCCTACAATTCTGCTTTTTTTTTGTACGATCGATTTTTTTCGATTTATACCCGAAAAGAGGGGGTGAATTTTTGGTTATAGAATAACTCGTTTATTTTCAATTTTACGAGAAAAATTGTTATAAACAAAGTTGTTTAAAATTAAATTTCCTACAATTCTGTTTTTTTTGTACGATCGATTTTTTTGTATTTATCCCTGAGAAGAGTGGGGGTGAACCTAAGTATTGTATTGTCACGTTTATTATTGATGTTGTACCATTATTTTTTCTGTTTGTTTTTTTTTGCTGATTTTCAAAAATGTTATTTGGTACAATTATGATTCCGATTTTTTCTAAGAGTTTACCCCCACTCTTCTCAGGGATAAATACAAAAAAATCGAGCGTACAAAAAAAACAGAATTGTAGGAAATTTAATTTTAAACAACTTTGTTTATAACAATTTTTCTCGTAAAATTGAAAATAAACGAGTTATTTTATAATCAAAAATTCACCCCCTCTTTTCGGGTATAAATCGAAAAAAATCGATCGTACAAAAAAAAGCAGAATTGTAGGAAATTTAATTATAAATAACTTTTGTAAAAACTATTTTCCGTGTAAAATTGAAAATAAATGAGTTATTCAAGATACAAAAAATAACCCTTTAAATCAAGCTGGCGGAGGTAACGACCACTTTGGAATCCCAACTTTTTGAATTTAGACTACCACAGACCCCCTCCAACGAATTCCGAAGGAAAATTGCTGCTTCGAATTTTTCAGAATCTCAAGCCTGTTCTTCACCTAATCCGATTGGGCTATATTTAAAGTGAGATTTCTGTTGTGTTCCAAGGTTAATTAAAATATTTTTTACATTAGAATAAAGTCCCAAATTTACCCTACATATGAAGATAAAAAACCATTCGGAATCTCCTATAATTATTAATAATAATTTGTTTTGTTAAAGTGTACTAAACAGGATTATTTTCGTACATAAACTTTAATAAAAAAAAGTGGTCATTAACTATCTTATCTTTTTTTGTGGGACTAGTAAAATACAATTAATAGCTTGCCAGTGGCGTCCTGATGTTTTGGAGAGCTGTGTCTCTTAAAACTACGTAATTATTATGCCAAATCATGTCTCTAGTTTATTTTATGTTTTTAAATAAGCTTAGGAGTAGATAGAAGCATTTTATTTTATAATTTTTCCTTAATTTAGTTTTGAGGTTAACTCATAAATTGGTAATTAGTAATTACCCTAAGTACCCACCCCCACCCTTCGCGCAATTAGCAAATACCTCCCAATTACTCTGTACATCATGTAGTGAGTGTAATTGCATAGTAAGTACTTTTTAATTACCCTATACACCATGTGTAATGAGTATCGTAAGTACCCCTCATTACTCCATACACATTGAAATGTAATGAGTGTAGGTACCTTGTATATATAGTAATTGCTATGCATGTCATGAAGTGTAATGTGTTTATTCTAAGTGCCTCTCGTTTATTAGTATTGAAGCGTACAGAGCGTTTTGTACCCTAAGTACATTCTAAATAATAGACATTATTGTTTTTCATAAATGGGGAATGAAGTCCGCACATCCTTGACTCTCAACCACCATGATTAGAGTGAGGAACCGGTCGGGCGCAAGCATACACGGCATGAATACCGAAGCAGGAGCTTAGAAAAAGTGGGGGATTTAGTTAGCAAGTACTTCCCAATTACTCTGTACCCACTGTACTGTAATGAGTGTAATTGCATAGTAAGTACCTTTCAATGTGTAATGAGTAATGAGCATCGCAAGTACCATTCATTACTCCATACACATTGAAATGTAATGAGTGTAGGTACCTTAAATATAGTAATTACTATGTATGCACACCTGTTATTCTATACCGGTGTAACTAGAATTGGAGCTGATGGCTTGTATATTATGAATAGGAGAGGTGGGGATTTTTAAAGAGGATATATTATAGTAGTGTCCATATCCAAATGAAATCAGTTTAAAATCTTAAGCTTTAAGAGTGTTAAGAAGTTCCAAATAATAACCAAGTGTAGTATTGTGTGTGTTATACAGGTAAAAATAGTATATTACATTACGAGTGTGGAAAATCACTTTTCACACAAGTGATGTACAATATTTTTCCTACGACCACAAAATAATTTCATCAAAAAATGTAAAACCAGATTATTATAATAATTAAAATGTATTTAAAAAAATAATCAACAATAATCGTATTTATTAAATTTTCATAATTTCTAAACAAATAAAAAAAAATAAAAAAAAAAATAAAAAAAAAATTCTTGCACAGCCAGGATTCGATCGCGGTCGTTGGACGGTCTCAAATTGCAAAGTTGATGCTCTAACCAACTGAGCTAACAGGCCTTACGGTAATTGATTGATCTAATCGCTTATGTGTTTAACCAGAATAAAAAGCAAATATATCTTAGTTATTTTAAAATTATTTTAAAAATAATTGTTAAAGATAAATATCTAGGATCTAATTTACAATAATTTAACAATCATATCGATTTTAGTATTAATATGGACATTACATAGATCAAAATAGAAATTATGTGTTTGACATTTTCTGACAGCTACTGCGGAAAGTAGCATATTCTCACTTGGGTGGAAAGTAAATTCTTATTCATACGCGTGTGATATAGGGCACTTTCCATAGGTCTATATAGTGTGATATGTGTCACTTTCCTAAGTGGTCGTAGGAAAAATATTTGTTTGTATTCTACCATGGCTCAAGCTCAGATAGATATGCTAAATAAGTTAGTTGGTGAATGGTTCACAATATTGGATCAGCGGGAACTAAGGTCATTAGTTGTAGGCCAACTTTATATTATTAAGGCGATATTTGTCAAAGATACTAGGTATGGTAAATGTTTACTCATTCATTTAATTGATCGGATTAAACTTGAGCTTTTCCAGTGTTGATTGCCGAGACACATTTTTGAAATAATACCATCTGAAATCATTGCTACGATTCATGCTGCTGTCGGCCAATATGCATTGGTATATTTAGGGGAAATACCGTGTCATGGCTCAACTACTAGAGCTCATATAAGGTTCGATTTAGTTAGCCAGCAATCAATTCATTCATCTGTGGTAGAGTCATTGTAAATATTTTTTTACCTTTAATTGTACACAGTTTACACATTATTTCATTAAGAATTTCTACAATTTTTTTGTAAGTATAACTTGGTCCTTATTTGTTTCTTTAATAACGAATAAATATTGTTTCAGATTATTTCGATATGTGGATGATGTATTCTTAAAAACCACTGGCCAAAAGCTCTCGACTTAGAATCAGCGATAAGCAGACTTGGAAAGGAATTGGATACACTGGCGATAGATGCTTTACACTTCATCAACTATGATGCTGAAATAGGGCCGTTCCCGGAAGCCGTAGCATTACAGAATGACTAGTATGAGAAATACAGCCAAGGCAGCAAGCAGTCTTTGCTGCCAATATAATGCATGTGAGCTGGACTTGGATACACTTTGTGAGAAGATGGTTAGCCTAAGTTTGAAGCGTTTCTTGAACGAGGCCTTACCATACATTACCTCACAATTGAAAAGTACTCACTATGCAACTACACTCACTGCATGATGTACAGAGTAATTGGGAGGTACTTGCTAATTGCGCGAAGGGTGGAGGTGGGTACTTAGGGTAATTACTAATTATAGCCTCTGATCTTGCCTCTGACCTTGGTCCAGAACTGGCTTATCATAACTACTAAGGCTCAAGAGTTAGTTAACTTTCATATTTTTGATATTTATAGTAGTTATAATACATCCTTTTTACAACAATATGAAACCAAACATGTTCAGTGTTATTATGCGTACGTGTGATGGAAATAAATTCCACGTTTTTACTAGTTGTTTTTCCTTGTACTTTTTACCATACGAAAAGCAAACAAACAATAAATAATCGGGCATTTCATCAGATAATCGTTTATTAGGATGGCGTGTCACGGACACATTTATCCACAAAACGAA